TGTTTCGGCCGGGTTCCCTAAACCCCAACAACTTAAAGATGGGTGGCCTCAAACTCCAGGAACCCCCGGCAAGAATGGTTGGCTGGGGAATTCTGGGAATTGAAGTCCACCCATCTTAAAGTTGCTGAGGTTGAGGGACCCTGACTTAAATGAACTGTAATGGATGGCATGAGCGGGGAAGATTCTGGAATGGAAGTTCAAGGTTGTCAGGAGGGGGAGAGGCATTCCAGAGCAAGCGCCTCCTCAGCCCACAACAAGAGTGTGGGAAGACGAAGAGGATGAGGCTGGCCCCTCCTTAGAGTCTCACGGGGTATAGCCATTAGCCGCTTTAGCATAGGTTGAGTCTGGCGAGATTCTGTCTATTAGGTGCCAGCTAATGAAGGAACTGGACTGGACTGGATTGCCCCGTTGCTGTTCTTGGGCTGAACCTGACATGAACCACTTTATTTCTACCATTCCTTCAGGGCTGTCCGCAGGGTATGGTCCAAAATGTCAAGATGGTGGCCACAACAGTGCTGTTGAAGTGCTGCCTTTTATGCACATCACACCGAGAAAGCGGGTGAAGCTCTGATGACACCATCATGGCCACCATCTTCATTTTTTGGACCATACTCTGCAGACACTCTGCATTTTTTTTGTTTGTTTGTTTGTTTGGCAGGGACAGCAGATGGTGGGAAAGCTGTGATCCCAGGACCACCTGTAGTTCCCAAGACTCCTTTTTGCAGATCCTAAGACTTCTGGGCCACGACTGCTAAAAACTGATGGAACACCTCCCTGTTGTTCTGAGGCAGAAAATAGAGCCATAAATTAGGGCAACATAGTTAACTGAACAAAGAAGAAAAATGGTTTCCCCTAAATCAAGGGGAGAACAGAATATCCTGGCCTTGCTCATGTGTCGGAAGTAGCCCCACTCACTTTTCACCCTTCCCTTGCTACAGAAACGTTAAATGGGGTTCTTGGCCACCCTGTCTCCCTGATTGAAAGGCGAACTAATTATTGGGGGGGGGGTCATCATATGATCTCTCCCTCTTTTAGGTTTAACTTCAACTTTATTAATTTCCAGTCAGAGACCAAAAATCAGTGCACAAGAAGAAACAGGTTATAGAGGGAAATGAGTGATAATATTCTAACAATTCTCTATTGGGATAGGATGGGATGGGAATGGATTGAGTAGGGTAGGGTAGGGTAGGGTAGGGTAGGGTAGGGTGG